TTAGCTTTCTTGATTATTTTCAGCACCTGTTCATGTTATTTTAATGATCTGTGTACCTGAACTCTCAAGTCTCTTCAGACATCCACTACATTTAACATTTTACCATCTTAAAAAATACCCTGACCTATCCATTTTTTGGTTGAAACTGGATAACCTCGCACTTGCTTGTTTTGAACTCCACCTGCCACAGTTTTGGCCATTCACCTAGCATATCAACATCTCTTTGTAATTTTATGTAATCATCCACCCTATGTACAAGGCTGCCTAACTTTGTGTCATCAGCAAATTTGGAGATTCGACTTCCTATGTCATTATCCAAGTCATGAATTAATAATGTTTACAATTGAAGGCCTTGCATAGGTCGTTATGGACACCACTAGTCATATCCTGCCAATTTGAATATCTACCAATCTTTCCTAGCTTCTGTCATCTGCCAATTTCCCAGCCATGTCAGTAATTTGCCTTCAGTTTGTGGGCTTCTACCTTAGTTAATAGTCTGTTTCGTGGGACTTTATCAAATGCCTTCTGCAAGTCTATGTAAACAACATCCCCTATCCACTACCTCAGCCGCCTCTTCAAAAAGTTCGCTGATGTTTATAAGGCATGATCTACCTGTCATGAATTCACGCTGACTGTCCCTGAGGTGTTCAGTTACTCCATCCTTGTTGATAACAATTTCCCCACCACAGATGTTAGGCTAACTGGTTTGTAATTCCTTGGTTTTCCTCTTCCACCTTTCTCTAAAAGTGATATGTGCAATTTTCCAATCCAGAAGGATGACCCCAATATCTAGGGAACCCTGAAAGATGAAACATTGCAGTATGCTGTTGTTGAATTTGCTTCAAAGTAAAACAAGACTTCTTTTTTGTCTTGTATATTTTACCACAACTTTGTGAACAGTTGTAGTTTAGTACATTTTTAGGAATGTGCCAGATATTTGTCTTGTGTTAATGCATATAGGGACATTCCTTTACAAGACAAAGTCTAGTTCACTAATGTCCTATATGAAAGGAAACTGCCTTCCCAACCTGGTCTGGCCTACATGTGACTTCAGGCCCACAGGAATATGGTTGACACTTAACTACCCACTAGGCAATTAGAGTTGGGTAATAAATGCTGCCTTGGTCAGTGACACCCACATCCAATGAATGAATTTTTTAAAAGTCTAATGTAATATTACAAATAAAGTATTGCCCAAGGATTAAATAAAAATACTTATTGCTATAATTTGATGTGAAATTAACAGTTTTATGTTCTTCTAGCTAGTTTAGAAAGGGCTGGTGAGGTTCGCTTAAAATTAAACGCGGTACTGTGGTGGAAAACAAAGACAACTGATTTCAGTTGATTACAGAATTGTTATCAAATTTGCATTTCTATGATATTAAATGTCTCCAGATCTGTTGGGTAGTTCCAAACCTGAACCTATGCCATGAATCAAGTGCTAGTTTAAGTGTATGCAGCATAATATGCCAGCGGCCTCACAGAGTAGACACACATCCTTCTGATCTATTTCTCCTAACTCCAAATTGCAACAGTTAATGAAATAACAGTCAGGGGTTTAGCACATGAAGGGCAGTTTGCCTCACTGTGTTCTATGGAATGACTGCATCCTATCCATAGTTGTACATGGAGTATTTTCCAAGCACAACTGTCTCAATTTTATGAAATGTTTTACAAGCCCACAAAGAAGACCATAAGACCATAAACATGGAGCAGAAATTAGGCCATTTGGCCCACCGAGTCTGCTCTGCCATTCAATCATGGCTGATAAGTTCCTCAACCCCATTCTCCTGCTTTCTCCCCGTATCCCTTGATCCCCTTGATAATCAAGAACCTATCTATCTCAGTCTTAAAGAACATGGAGAATAAAATATGCCGTGCAAATAATGACTCTGCTTGGGAAAGATTTTGAGAATTGGTATGAGGAATGGTTTTAGCCAGTCTGTGGTTTTAATGTCATGTATGCATCTTCATTATCAGCAGGATTTCCTACCTGGAAGCCAGCCTAAATGCCAAACAGTTATAGGCCAGTTCGTCTTTCTTTGGTGGTGGGCAAATTGTTAGAATCAATCCTAAGAGGTCGGATTAGCTGCCACTTGGAAGGGTATGAACTAGTCGGGGATAGTCAGCATGGCTTTGTAATGGGAAGGTCATACCCTACAAATTTGATTGAATTCTTTGAAAAAGTGACAAGGAGGATCGATGAGCCTGGTGCAGTGAATGTTATCTACGTGGATTTTAAGAAGGCATTTGACAAGGTCCCACATGGCAGACCAGTCAAGAATGTAAAAACCCATGGGATACAGGATAATGTGTCGAATTGGATCCAGCAGTTGGATTAGTAACAGAAAACAAGGCGTAATATTTGTCGGCTGCCTTTGTGAATGGAAAACTGTTTCAAGTAGTGTTCCGCAGGGCTCAGTGTTGGGTCTCCTGCTGTTTGATTTATACATTAACAATTTAGACTTAAATGTTGGGGGGCACAATTGGGAAATTTGCAGATGACACAAAAGTTGACTGTGTAATGGATAGTGTAGAGGATAGCTATAAGCTTCAAAATGATTTGGATGGGTTGGTGGAGTGGGCTGGAAAGTGGCTGATGGAGTTCAGCTCTGATAAGTATAAGCATTTAGGGAGGGAAAACAGTGAAAGGGAATACACAATAAACGGGAATATACTGAAAGGGGTAGATGAAATGAGAGATCTTGGCATGCAAATGCACAGGCCTGTAAAGGTAACTCTACAGATAGATAACGTTGTAAAGAAGGCATGTGAAATGCTGTCCTTTATTGGCTGAGGTATCAAATACAAAAGTAGGAATATAATGATGAAACTGTGTCAGACATTGGTGAGGCCACTACTGGAGTATCGTGTGCAGTTCTGGTCACCACACGACAGAAAGGATGCAATTGCTTTGGAGAGAGTGCAAAGAATATTTACCAGAATGTTGCAAGAGCTGGAGAATTGTAGCTACGAGGAGAGATTGGAGCAGTTGGGGTTTTTTCCTTGGAACAGAGAAGGCTGAGGGGTGACATGATTGAGCTATACAAAATTGTGAGTGGTAGAGTTAGAGTTGACAGAAGAACCTGTTTCCTTTGGCAGAGAGATCAAAAACCAGGGATCATAGATTCAATCTAAGTGGCAGAAGGATTAGAGGGGATGTGAAGAAAAACCACCTTCAAAAACGCACTATTAGCAGCTTGTTGCTCCACCAGATTAGGCTGGTAGGGTCTCAGTTTAAAATACCATCCAAAAAAGTCAGCACCTTTCACAACAGTCCAGGCAGCATCAGAGGAGCAGGAAAGTTGGCGTTTCGGGTTGGAACCCGACCCGACCCGACCCGAAACATCAACTTTCCTGCTCCTCTGATGCTGCCTGGCCTCCTGTGTTCCTCCAGCTCCACGCTGTGTTACCTCTGATTCCATCATCTGCAGTTCTTACTATCTCTGACCACCTTTCACAATACCACTTTTCCAAAAAGTGTCAACCTGGATTATGTACTCATAGACCAGAGTGAGGTTTGAATCAGTAATCTTTTGATTTAGGTGAAAGTTCACACTTGCAAATTAATCAAAGCAAAATGCAGGCATTAACACTATAATTAAGGTTAGCTATAAAAAGTTTCTTGTCACACTTTTGTGAATAACTCAGACTTTACTAATATTTTAAAGTCATTGGAGTTTTATGTTTTAAGAACATTCAGTACTATAAAGGCTAAAGTTGATTTATTACCGTTGGCATATTTACTGTCATGTATTCATTGAAAATAAATTTTTCTTGTGTATTTATTTTTATTAATAAATAGTCAATATTAATATTTTGAGGAATATATGCATAGACCACGTGTATATGTGAAGTTATTGTAAATATTGTGGTCTGCAAATATACTGTAGTTTGAAGATTCTGTGATCTTTTGAGAAGCTTATTAAAAGTTTGTGATGTTTCCATCAGTGATATTCTCCAGCTGTCAATTCTGTCCCTTGGGAGTATCACCAAGAGGACTGCATCGCACTTCTTTGTGCAGATCTTCCATATTAAATGATCAATAGAAAGTCTAGGTGCATTTTGATTAACAAAATTCTTTTGATATGCATACAATTATTGTTTTCTGATTTGTTTGTGAAATAATGCAAATTTGACATTTTTGTATTTGAAAGAAAGTGTTAATTAATGGTATTGTTTTGAGATTCCATTTTAAAGCTTAAAGTTGTTTTTTGTAGATTTTCTCCCCCTTCTCTTGAAAAGCTGGACTTGCAAGATATTCTCAGTGCCCGCTCATGTTTCAGTACTTTGTTCACCCTTCACAAGATGCAGTCAGATGAGCCAGGCCATTCATCCACTGTTGACACACAATGTGAGAAAATTGGATATGTTTTCTCCCATTACATCATCTTACTGCATCTTGAGTGAATCTATAAACTGACCCAGAAGATTACTTGAACTGTTGGTTATTCTGTATACTTAAAAAATAAAAAGTTCTTCCCAGGATCTGACCTAAATTGTCCTTTTCATCATTTGTAACACATACCCCACACAACCTTGTTCTCATGTCTTGGCTTGCCAAGAAATAATACTCCCAAATTTACCTTATTTCTAAAAACCAAAAGAACTGCGGATGCTGTAAATCAGGAACAAAAACAAAGTTGCTGGAAAAGCTCAGCAGGTCTGGCAGCATCTGTGAAGGAGAAAACAGAGTTAACATTTCGGGTCCGGTGACCCGTTCGTGTTGGTGTTGTACCTTATTTCTCTTGTTTAGGATTTTGATAGAGACCTCTTCCAGAGGTTATTTGTAACGTTAAAAATGTCAGAGTTTCTCTGATTTTTTTTTTCCTCAACTGTAATAAAGCAATTCATGGTTTGAGTTGCATTTCCTTTTACAGGCTTTCTTTTGAAAAATATTTGCCAAATTAAAATTTTGTTGAATAGCTTTTATGTAATTGTCAATTCTCAAAGTAACACATTAAATTATTGTATAACATATTTCTCTTCAACTTTTACAGTGTTTCAAGGCTTATTTTTGTGAGGCATCTGGGTGGTATTTTGGCTGTTGCTAATATCAGAGGAGGAGGAGAATATGGGGAAAGTTGGCACAAAGGTAAGGTAATCAACGTACACCGGCACATGGATATAAACTTTACACCTGAAATGCTTTTCTTTTATCTCCTTGCATATCAGACTAATCTTTAATTCTCATTTTTCATTGAGCGGCCAACTTGATTGTGTTTATCAGGTTCTAGGAAGTATTGGACTATGATTTTCAACAATATTTGTGTGTTGCAGTTGGCATAAATCTAGTTTACTCCATTATATTCCCCAGTGGAACTCTTTTCACATGTGTCTTCTGTGCTGAGCAGTTCTGAATCTATCCAAACAATATATCATCTTGCCCATGATTCTTAATCTTCCAAGTCTGGAAAAAACTGTGTTCAGCATCTTTCAAGGATCCACGTAAGCTACAAGATTATCTTTTCCACAAGTTTTGTTAGCATCTCAAAGAATTTCATTAGATTTATATGGCTTCCAAATTATATTACTTCCAGAACCATGCTAACTGCTCTTTGAGATATCTATGCTGCTTTTAAATCTTTATTTATGGCATCTCCTAAATGCCCACAAGCATTTTGTCTCTCTAGATTTTAATGTAATGACTTTATAGTCCTGTGTTTGTGGCTTCAGAACATTGAAATTGCATTTCCAGAGCCATATGGAACCAGAGCTACGTATGTTCCAGAGCTCTATATCAATCAAGTAATTGCGATCTTAATATTTGACCTTGGATTGCTTGCTTATTTGTTGAACGCTTTTTCTTTTTGAATTTGATTTGTTTATTTATATTGATTTTTCCAGTTATATTTACTTTTCATAAGGGCCCTTGTGACATAATGGTAGTATCCTACCTCTGGGCCAGAAAGCCCAGGGTTCATATGTGTGTCATAACATATCTGCGTAGGTTTTTTTGAAGTATCTATTGCAACTTTCATCGAGCAATGAATGTAATTAAATCATCAGCTAAGCTATATTCATTTAAAATCTAGCGCAGGTAGTACAGTGGCAATGTCACTAGACAGTGGCCCATGTATATTCCTAACAATGGAAATTCGTGTCAGTTCTGTTAGGCTATTAGTTTCTAATCTTAAATCATTAGAATTAATTTATTAATGTATATACCTATAGTCTTGCAGTTATGCTTCATTTTGCTTTAAATTACTTCCGTCTGAGTGCTCGTTTTCTAATCACCTGACTATTTTCCAATATTGTCTTTAGACAATGGTGTCTTTCTTACAATGCAACAATCACACTATTTCTTTATTAATTGGCCGTAAGCAATTGGGCTGGAATGTCTCGACTGTGAATCGGACTAATAGACGTGCAAGTTTTCCTTTCTAATGTAATTCTACATGTAAAAGTGTTGTTTAATTATGTGTTCTTTCTTGGTATGTGGGTGTCACTAGAATTTGTTGCCCATCTGCACTGTCCTTGGACTAAGTGATTTGCTAGACCATTCTGAAGGTAGTTAACAAGCAGTCACATGGCTGTGAGTCACGTGGACCATATACCATAAGGCCATTAGTGAATTCAATGGGTTTTATGACTATTTATAGTTTTGTAATCATTAGTTTTAAACAGATTTGGGTAAATGAATCTAAATTACACCAGGTGCCATGGTGGATTTGAGCCTGTGACCCCAAAGAATTAGCCTGATATCCTTATGACATCGAGGTCCAGTGATATTATCATGCTATTGCCTCCTCCCAACAATTCCTGTAATCCTCTAGCATTTTGTCTGTTTGTGGAATTTCCATCTCTTATTCTGTTTCCATTTATTGTGCACTATTTAAATGCACAATCAATTTTTACAGTATGCTTAAATGTTCTCATTGCTCTGCACTGTCCTAATTCTAGCCACTCTGAAATCATTTGAGTTTTTTGATTAAGGGACTTGTCATCCTGAAATGTAGCAAGGATATTAGCAGGTGTGTATTTTTGTGAACAAATAACTCATAATATCCTTTTGCTAATATTATCCAACAAACTAAATTAGTTATGTTTCTATCAAAAGTAGTAAAAATATTTGAACAGTGTAAGATTGCAAATCTTCCAGATTTCGATGCAATCATTCAGAGGGTTAAGCTTTATTTGATCTTTCACATTTTTTTAAAAACAAAAGCTCAGGCAGCAATATCTTAGGAGTAGAAAATAGCCATTAAGCCCAATAATAACTGGACTTCAGGAGCTCAGTTATGAGGACAGGCCTATTTTCTGTAGAATTTAGGAAGTTAAGGGTTGATCTGATCGAAGTCTACAAGATATTAACATAAATCATAGAATCCCTACAGTGTGGAAACAGGCCCTTTGGCCCAACAAGTCCACACCAACCCTCAGAGCATTCCACCCCGAACCGTCCCCAATAACCCACCTAATCTACACATCCCTGGACACGATGGGCAATTTAGCATTGCCAATCCACCTAGCCTGCACATCTTTGGACTGTGGGAGTAAACTGAAGCACCCAGAGGAAACCCACGCAGACATTGGGAGAACGTGCAAACTCCACGCAGACAATCGCCCGAAGTTGGAATCGAACTCGGGTTCCTGGCGCTGTGAGGCAGCAGTGCTAACCACTGAGCCGCCGTGCTGCTCCTTTTAATAAATCCCTGTAACCCTGCATTTCCCATGACTGACCCACCCATGTTTGGACTGTGGGAGGAAACTAAAGCATCTAGAGGAAACCCACACAGACGGAGAAAATGTGCAAACTCCACACACAGTTGCCTGCAGGAAAAGACAGATAGATAAATTATTTCCACTGGTCAAGGGTTCTAGAACCAGGGGATATAGTCTGAGAATTAGGACCACACCGTTCAAAGGGAGATGTTAGGAAGCGATTCTACACACAAAGGGTTGTAGATGTTTGGAACTCTTCTACAAATGGCATTGGATGCTAATGGTTTATTTTTAAATCAGAGATAAATAAATTTTTGTTAAGCAAAGATATTAAGGGATATGGGCCAAAGGCAGATATATGGACTTAGGCCACAAATCGGTCATGATCTCATTGAATAGAGGAACAGGCTTGAGGGGGTGAATGATCTACTCCTGTTCTTATGAGTACAAATGGTACACACCAAATGTATGTAAATTAATTTTATCCAGCATAACTTTCACGAACATGATTCATTTTCAACAAAATCATTTGGCTATTATTGATTTATCTTACCAGAACTGGGTGCTCAAATAATTTGGTTTAGAGTTATTGACTGTGTTTATTCAGAGCTCTTGTTCCAATATTCCTATGTAATAAACCAGTTTCTTTTTCAAAACTTTTCTACTCATATTCACTCCATGTAATTCAATCCTCTCTTCCATCAACGTTGAATCTGTTTGCGTTCAGAGCTGGGTATTTTGTTCCACAACTCCAACTTGATGATCCCTGGACTTGAGGGGTCCAGTATCTTGGCAGTGAGATTTGCTAGAGATATTTTGGGGGGCTGGGGGCTAAATTAGTCTGGCAGTGGGGTGGGACCCTAAGGAGTAGTGAGATAAGAGAGAAGGCTGAGGCTGGTACAAAAGTTAAAGAAAGCAAGTTAAATAGACAAGGCATTCAAGAGCATGGCAGAGGATGAGGGAAGATTTGTGAATTAAAATGCATTTATTTCAATGTAAGAGGCCTGACAGACAAGGCAGATGAACTCAGAGCCTGGATGGCAATATGGGACAGAAACATGGCTGAGGGAGGGACAGGACTGGTAGGTCAATGTTCCGGGGTATAGATTCTATGGGAAGAATAGAAGGGGAGGCAACGGAAGAGTGGGAGTAACATTTTTGAATAGGGAAAACAGCATGGCAGCACTTAGGATATTCCTGGGATTGTCCAATGAAGCTATATGGATGGAACTGAGAAATAAGAAGGGGTGATCACTTTGATGGGATTGTACTATAAGCACCCCATAGTCAGCAGGAAATTGAGGAGCAAGTGTGTAGGGAGATCACAGATAGCAGTAAGGATAATAGGGTTGTAATAGTTGAGGATTTTAATTTTTCAAACGTAGATGAGATTGCCATAGTCCTAAGTGCTTTGATATGGAGGAATTTGTTAAATGTGTTCAAAAAAAAATTTCTCAATCAATATGTAGATGGCCCTACTAGAGAAGGGGCAAAATATGATCTTCTCTTGGGGAAATAAGGCAGGGCAAGTGACTGAGGTATTAGTGAGGGAGCACTTTGCGACCAGTGACCATAATTTTATTTAGTTTTTAAATAGTATGGAAGATAGACCTGGTCCACAAGTTGAAGTTCCAAACTGGGACAAGACCAATTTTGATGATATTAGACGGGAACTTTCAAAAGTTGACTGGGGGAGGCTGTTCACAGATAAAGGAACATCTGGCAAGTGGGAGGCTTTCAAAAGCAAATATCAAAAGTTCAGGGACAGCATGTTCCTGGTAGTATGAAGGGCAAAAGGAGAAGGGAACTCTAGATTACTAAAGATATTGAGGCACTGGTCAAGAAAAAGGAGGCGTATGTTAGTTATAGATGGCTGAAATCAAGTGAATCCCTTGAAGAGTAAAGGGAGTGTAGGACTACACTTAGGGGGAAATCAGGAGGCCAATAAAAGGGGACATAAGATAGCTTGGGCGAATAAGCTTGAAGAGATTCTACAAGGATATTAAGCACAAAAGAGTAACTAGGGAGAGCATAGGACCCCTTACAGATCAACAAGGCCATCTATATGTGGAACCTCAGGAGATGGGTGAGATCCTTAACAAATATTTCATGTCAGTGTTTACTGTGAAGAAAGACGTAGAAGCTAGGGAACTTGGGAAAATAAATAGTGATGTCTTGAAAAGAGTCTAATTAAGGGACCTGATCAAGTGTATCCCAGGACATCGTGGGAAGCTAGGCAAGAAATTGCGAGGCCCCTAGCAGAGATATTTGTATCATCAATAGCCACGAGTGAGCTGCCGGAAGACTTGAGGGCGGCTAATGTTGTGCCATTGTTTATGAAAGACTGCAAGGAAAAGCCAGGAAACTATCTATAGACCTGTAAGTCTGACATCAATGGCAGGTAAGTTATTGGACGGGATTCTGAAGAGA